AGTCACCGGAGGCTACGCTAGCGCACATGCGGAGCTGTGCACGCGCAGAACCGTCACGCACAGCACACTGCGCAGCGGCTGCAGGCACGAGGGGTGTGAGCCCCGGCACGCGGCTGCGGAGAGCGGCGTGACGCCAGCCAGCCCGCTGTGCGGGAGCGTGGCCGCGAGGGGAGGGGCGGCGCGGGCACCACGCAAGCTGGACGGCACCGTGTGACGCACCCGAACACTCAGCCCGTTCACTTGCGAAGGAAAATGGTAGGGACCAAAAGAAAAGGAAAGAGACTTAAAATGGGGAGACTAGAAAGGAAATGGGACAGTTTACTGGACTGAGCCTGGCTCGGTAACGTTGCTGTTGTGTGTATTTTCCATATTCGAAACTAAAACCATGTCAAAATACCACAGGAAACCTTAAAGTGTAATGCAAGGTGAAGCGGGTAAACTTAGCGGGTTATCACCTTGCTGCTCGCACCAGCCCCGCAAACAGTACAGTGAAAGACTTCAGAACGCAAACATCTGTTCATATCCACTTTCAGAGACGAGCTGGGCTTAACCCTTGCTCAGGAGTCTTGTGGCTAGTGACATTAGTAGTATTAGTAAATTGCACACGTCACAGGACAAAGAAACTAGGATAGTAGTGCTGTTGAACTTTCAACCCGGGAGAAAGAAATGAAGGGTAAAATTGCAGCTTAATGACAGGGTTGTTAATTAGACAAAGGAGTTTTATCATTAAAAATAATCATAGTGATTTCTTCTTAAAAATTCAGCTATCTCAGTTCTCAGCCAGACGTGTGAACGCAGCCAGGGGCTGGCCTGGCACGCCACCGCCCTCACGCCCGGGGCACGCTGGGGGCGCTGGAGCTGCGGCCGGGCTGGGTCACACTCACGGGCTTGGGCTGTCCAAGAGGCAGCCGGAACAGCTCGTTGAGAGAGCCCGGGGAGCCACGGACGGTGGGACAGTGACTGGGCTTGGGGCTTCCTTCGAGGGTGAGGAGAGTGTTCCCGAATTCGTGGTAGAGCTGCCAAGCGCGTAAACACACTGACCGGCACAGCTGTGCATGGGAAGGGTGAATTTATGACGTGGGAATTCTATTTCAGTAATGTGCTATTGAAATAGTACTTAAATAATGTATTTTTAACAGCACACCATTTTTTAAAAAGATTCATTCATTTATGTGTGCATACAGAACTGGGGTGCAGGCCAGAGTGCGGGGGTGAGAGGACTCCCCAAGGGCAGAGCGAGGGGGTTGACTGAAATCCACTGCTGAGGGGAGCAGCGGCGGGCCAGGAGAGGTGTGCCTCGCCATGTGGGTCACTCCCTGGCCGGGGGTCAAGCTCGTGCCGCAGTGGCGGCGGGCAGCTTCCTAGAGCTGAGAATGAGCCCGTTGCGACACCAGGGAGACCCAACAACAGACCATTTTTAACCCTCACCACCTCGTGCAGACCACGGGAACTGCGACTCACGGGGAGTCTTGAGGAAAGTCACCGGACACGTGGGGCTGGTCAGGGAAGGAGCTCGCTGGGTGAAGAGCATCACTGCACTGCGGCTGTGGAGCCGGGAGCCGGTCCGGTAGCACCACGGAGAGCTGAGCACGTGGTCCCAAAGGGGATGGTCGAGGGTTACAGCCGCGGGCACAGGGTGCCCATCTCAAGGAACTAGAGAACCGTGGAAGTGTGCTGAGATACGGACAGTGCACTGCAGGACAGCGGGCGAGTGCTGGATGCAGAAAGCAGATTCCAGGGGCCTCCCAGGTGGCGCAATAGGTTAAAGCGCAGCCCTACGAAGCTGGCTGCCGCGCCTCAGCGTGAATTCAATCCCCGCCCCGGAGGTGAGTCCAGGGCGCCGCAGACCCCTCCTGACCTGCCCGCTGCTCCCCCCAGCAGTGGACATCGTTCTTCTGCCTGCTCTGCTCCCCGCTCCGACTCTGGTGAGTCCACTCACTGCCCCTGCACCTCTGGCCTGTACCCCAGTTCTGAATGCATAAATAAGGAAGGAAGGAAGGAAAGCAGGAAGGAAGAAGTTAAAAGGAAAGCAGATTTCAAGCAAATTGCCCAGAATCCAATGCTTTGAGCAAGATGTTCCACATGTGCTCCAGGCACCAGCCATCAAAGGCCTACAGGCGGGGAAAGCGGGTCTTTTCCAAACCTGCTGAAGAGACCCCGAAGATGACTGGAGCCGAGGGAAAACACCACGTTCTCCTTGGCGCCATCCATGACCTCAGCAACATGAGGAAAGAGGCTCACACAACCAACGCGCGGCCCCCACAGGCGCTCGCGCTCGCCCTCCGATCGGCAGGCCATAGCGCCGGGCCGGCCCCTGTAGAAGTGGCGCTGAGATGGGCTTTCTGCAGCCATCTCTTTCCCTTTCAAAGAGCAACACGCTTTCTAGTCGCGTTTCTTGAGTGAAAGGAAAATGACTTCAGGAATGATCGCTTTGATTGAAAGGCGTTCTTCTTTTCCTCAATCTTAGACATAGGAACCATCATTCCAAGCTGCTTAATGAAATGTTTTCAGTGTATTCACTAATATTCTAGGTAGATTTTTAACTGGTAGAACTAATTGGCTTAAAAATAAGGTGAGCGTTATAAGAAAGGGGGGTTTCTAGTAGAACCACGAAGCAATAAATTCGTTTTGGAAAATTGTCCCCTCTTTTTGGAAAGTGAGACCTCTGAACAGGTTTCAAGAGACGTGCCAACCACGCCAAATTTGTGGATGGGAGTTGTTCTGGGGAGAACTTGCATGACGCTTAGAATCACTGGTATAAAAAGGAAGTTAAGAAGAAAGTAGATACATGTGCTCCCAACATTGCTCCAACATCTTAGGAATGCTAATTACGTGGTTACGTCCTCTACCATTTTGGTCTTTAGGAAAGTCATTTTCAGGGAATCACGTTTACTGGCGAAGGGGTGTGTGAGGTAAGTAACAGACTGACGAAGTGGTGGTGAGGTAAGTAACACGCTACAATTTTCTTGAATAAAGGTGTTTGTCGTATAAAACCACGAGAGACGTGTCATCGACAGTGGGACAATTTGATCAAAAAAAGAATGAGTACAATTGGGTGAACGTGCAGCAGCCGGAAGTTGCTGCTCTACAACTCAGTTCGAGAAGTTCGAACACTGACAGTGCTGAATTATCTTAGAGAACATTTGCTAACTTTGAGGTCACGACAACAATGTGATTGTTTTCTTAAACAGGAGTCCTCATGTCTTAGAAACTTGTATGAGCTGTATATGGATAAAATAACACATCGACAGGGATTTATGACAAGATAACCCATGGCTGCGGTTGGTGTGACCTCACGAGAGAAGAGTGAAGCCTGTGAGGCCACTAGTGGACGATCTTGAAGCTGAGGTGACAGCTGTCTAGGGATGACTGCTTCTGGAAAGTTCTATAATAAAAAACATGGAAACAGTCTTCTGAGTTTGTACTTCAGAGTTGATTTGATACTCAAAGAAGACAAAAAGGAAAACCGAAACTGAAAAAACTGTGTATGTGGTGGCAAAGGCCAGGAACAGAGGGCGCTCTGGCACCTGGCTGAGAGCGCGGCAGTGAGAGGAAAGGCCGCGCGCTCCTGGCCCTTCCCGTGTGTAGAGTGTTAGAGCAACCGCGTGGCCACCGTGGCGGAGGGAAAGCGCCTTGCGCGGGCCCCAGCAGCGCTGAGAGGCCGCTGCCACGGGAAGGCCGTCAGGCGGGCTCAGGCCGCGCGCCAGCCTGTGGCTGGAAGTGTGGTTACCCGCGGCCCCCGGCAGCCTGCGAGAAACCCAACTGCGCAATGATGTTCAAGGTTTTGAAAACTCCTACGCATGTGATGGGGTAGTGGTTGATTTTGTTTGTTTGTTTGTTTTGTTTCTATATGTTTACTGTTTACATCATTTTGTGCCCTTTTCCATCTCGGCTGTGACCCCCGTGGCCTGCCATCACCAAATCCCCGTGGGCCGTCGCCACAGTCCCGTGCACTTCCCCCCCCGACTGTGTTTGACCCCAGTCCCCACCCCACCCCCAAAAAATGTCTCTGGTCTATGGTTGTTCATTATTTTTGTTATTTTCTCGCCTGGTCCATTATACTCCTGCTATGAGTGAAACCATCCGGTGTCTTTCTTTTTCTTTCTGGCTTATTTCACTCAGCACGACCCCGCCTAGTGGTTAATTTTTAAGTAAAGTAGAATGATGCAAGAAAATGTCCATGTTCCCAGGGTAATGTTGCAGCATATAGGGGTGCCGCGACATGGAATCTGGGGGTTGCTTTCGAAAGCTTCGGGAAAAGGAAAGGGTGGAGACAGCAAGGAAGGAGAGGTTGAGCTGACCGGGGGACTCTGGTCACCGATGAGTCCGGTCACAAATGTGGGGTCCTTACTGTACGCTCGCTCCCTTGGAGAACAGGTTCCCGCGACAGCTGCTGCGGCCGTGGCCAGCTGTTTCAGCAGACTTGTGTAAGGGCAAGGCGTGGGCACCTCAAAAACTCACTTGTGGGCCCTCCCTGGTGGCGCAGCGGGTTAAAGCACAGCACTGAGAATCTAGAGCCGCTTCCACATGAGTTCGATTCCCGCCTGCCCCGGAGGTGACCCCATGGCGAGCCAGACCTCTCCTGACCCGCCTGCTGCTCCCCTCAGCAGTGTACTTCGTCGATCTGCCTGTTCTGCTCCCCACTCTGTCTCTGGTGAAGCCTCTCGCCGCCCCTAAGCCTCTGGCCTGTACCCCAGTTCTGTATGCACAAATAAATAAATCTTTAAAAAAAAAAACTCACTTGCACACAGTAGGTTTATTGCATTCTTTATTCAACGGTTACTAAATCCAGACCAACTGGCAGATGGGCAAGCCTTTGAAAATTCCGCAGTCCAACTAACCCACAAAGAAGCCAACTTCAGAGAGCTAAGATGGCGGGCGGAAGCAGCGACGACTGCCCAAAGCAACCTCTGTGCTGGTCTCGAGTGCTCGCTAGAACATGCTGGTGATACTTTCAAGGCTTCTCGGGAAGTTGGACTTGGAAGGCTAACGCACAGTTCTTACACATCTGTAACCGTGGGGTGCACTTGGCTGGCCACAGGAGATTTGTAGGAAAGGAAAATCAGGCCGCTAAGCAGCAGGAGGAAGGCGGCCAGGGTCGCCACGAGCATGGCGCTACCGATCTCCTGCATGTCCGGCTTGTAGGGGAGATGGAGGGACGGCGGGAAGGCCACCCCTTGCTTGTGCATGATGGACAAGTAATTCCAGAGCACGGCGACCGAGATGCACGCGCTGGCCACCACGTTCACAACCCCCGAGGCCATGAACGGGTGGCAGGCGGTCTTGTGAGGGACGCCCATGTACACGTTCTTGAGCGCGAAGATGATCAAGGCTTTCCCCAAGAGCCCCAGGACGCTGGCGGCCAGCATGAGGTTCTGGGTGATACGAAGGTCCAGCGGGAGAAAGGCGTCGCAGTAGGAGTAGTGGTAGCATTGCGCGGGGCTGCTGAAGCCTCGGCTGTGGTGCTGGACACAGACCTTCCACAGGCCCACGCAGGCCAGGCTGGAGGGGGATACCAGGGACCTGTCCATGTACCACACGCGCCACTCGGCAAGGCCCATGGACGTGGTACAGAGGATCCAGCCGATGGTGAGCAGCGCGAAGCCTGCTACTTGGCAGTGGGCGCTACTGATGAGCAACGCCATGTTGGCTGCAAGCAAATACAGGGCATCGTGAGCGCGGGCCTTGGCGCCCGGAGCAGCCGCGCCACCCGCCGGGCAGGGCAGCACCAGCAGGAAGTGCTGTCTGAGACATTCGAGTCCTGCTTCTGCCCGGGGCCGCGTGGGCAAACGTGGCCGGATCTGCAATGCTGCCCCAAACCTTGCCGCGTGCCAGCCTCCAAGAGGCAGTTTCCCTCTGGGTATCCGTCCAGAGCCGCAATTAAGGCAGACCACGCGCACAGCCCAGACACGGCCAGCCCAGCGGCCTGCAGCCTGGCAAGGGGGCCTCGGTCAGGCCCAGGCAGGGCCTCTCAGTGAGGGGCGCCGCAGCTGGGCAGCCGGGCGCAGACCAACGCTCAGCGTGGAGCGCGGCCGACGGCCGGTGCCTGGGGCCTGCTCCTGCGCTCAGCTCCATGTGTGCAGTGCGTCCGTGTGGCCCCTACGTGAGCGCTTTGCTCCTTTTCCTGGCCGAACGGGACTCCACCGCGAGGACGTGCCGCGCTTTCACATCATCCGCGACTGGCCCCACAGCCTGGGCTGGTATGAATAATGCTGCTGTACACGCCTGGCCGGTAGCCATCCAGGCAGAGCTAGTGGTGAGCCTGCGGCCTACGGCGAGCGCGCGCTGTGGGCTTCTCAGAAAGAGCTAAGCTGCGTCCCCACTGGCTGCTTGACCTCACCCACCCACCACCGCTTTGAAGGGATCGTCGCTCCCAGTCGTCCCTAGCGTTTTTAGTCTTTGAGCGCGGCCGTTCAAGTGCCCCAAAGGAAAATGTCTACCACAGCATGTCAGGCGCGCACAGCGGCCGACACAGCTGACAGGATCCCGGAGATGAGTAGAAGCAAGGGGGTGCAGAGGGGTCTAGATGGAGTAAGGCATTTTTGAGGCGATCAGAGGAATTGAGAGGCTTTAGTATTTATGGAAGAACTGAGGGGGACAGGAGGTAAGAGGACTCCCCAGAGACAGAGCGGGGAGCAGAGCAGGCAGGCTGAGACCCACTGCGGGGAGCCGCGAGGAGACAGGAGAGGCCTGCTGCGCCCTGGGGGGACGGAGCTCCGGCCGTAGCAGGGGTAGCGCTAAGACTCAACCTCTAGGCCACCGGGGAGGCCTAAGAGGGCTTTTTGACTATTACAGATGTTTATTTAATAAAGCATTTCGGAAAGAAAACACGCACCACCCGATGTTTCTATCACGTAACGAGATGCCTGAGCGGGTACGTGGAAGCGGCAGGCTTCTCTGGCCGCGGCTGCTGTGCACACCGAGCCAGCGCACCGTGGACGCCGATCACATCTGTGATGCGGCTGCGTCCTCCACTCCACCGTCCGCCTGCTGGCCTCGCTTGCCTTCGCTGCACACTCGCCCATCCCGAGAGCCACCCAGGGGCAGCTCCCTCCCCGGGCGCCCAGGGCCTGTCTGCACCCCTGAGTTCCAGTAATCAACCAGTTGACCAATTTGTGGCAACTCAGGAGGGGACCGTTGCTCACGTCCGCCCCGCAGGTTCCTGGACGCCTGCAGATGAGGTTCCAGCCCCTCACTCCCACTGCGATCAGGTTTTGTTGGAAGATGTTGGTATTTCAAAGAAATACAAATACCCAGTCTCTGGCTGGGTCACAGGGTGGGTGGCTGTGTCCCGGGGCGGGTGACTGCATCCCTGGGTGGGTGACTGGGTCCCCGGGTGGGTGGTTGTGTCCCGGGCGGGTGGCTGTGTCCCAGGGAGGGTGACTGTGTCCCGGGCGGGTGACTGTGTCCCTGGGGTGGGCGGCTGTGTCCCGGGGAGGGTGACTGCGTCCCCGGGTGGGTGACTGGGTCCCTGGGTGGGTGGCTATGTCCCGGGCGGGTGATTGTGTCCCTGAGGTGGGTGGCTGTGTCCCGGGCGGGTGGCTGTGTCCCCGGGGTGGGTGGCTGTGTCCCAGGGAGGGTGACTGTGTCCCCGGGAGGGTGGCTGTGTTCCTGGGCGAGTGACTGTGTCCCCGGGGTGGGTGGCTGTGTCCCTAGGGTGGGTGGCTGTGTCCCGGGGTGGGTGACTGTGTCCCCGGGCGGGTGGCTGTGTCCCTGGGGTGGGTGGCTGTGTCCCGGGCGGGTGACTGTGTCCCCGGCAGGTGGCTGTGTCCCCGGATGGGTGGCTGTGTCCCCGGGCAGGTGGCTGTATCTCTGGGTGGGTGGCTGTGTCCCCGGGTGGGTGACTGTGTCCCCGGGCGGGTGGCTGTGTCCTCAGGGAACCCCTCCGTTTAACATTTTGAGCAACCACCAGAGTGTTTCCCAAAGTGGCCGCAACTTTAAAACACCTGCAGCATATAAAGCTCCCAATTTCTCCAGCTGCTTACAGCACCCCTATTTCTCACCCCCATGGGTGGAAATGGCGTCGGGTTGGGGGTCCCGCTGTACTTAGTGTCAGTGTCAAAGAACTAAGGAATAAGACTGAGCTTAATTGAGTTTTCTCATTATTTTCTGGTTCAAAGCGCACATACACTAAGCAGGCTTCGGCGTGGGGCCCCGTGACCCCGTGACCCCATGACCCCACCGAGGCCAGCGCAGTGCGTGTTCCGGGGGGCCCGAGCCCGCACGGAGGCTCGCGCTCTGCCTGCACCTGAGTTCTGTGGGCCCCTCGGCTCATGTTCAAGTCCCCACTGGCTAAGATGCCCGGTGGCTTTTCCCCAGTGCCCAGGAGACCAACCGCCAGGCCTGTGCTGGCCAGCTGAGGTGCAAACCAGGGGGGCTGGCGAGGGGGTTTGCCACAGGACTTGAAAGAACAAGGAAAGGCCAGGACCCCAAACAGACACCCGAGGACAGCCCGGCGGTGGCAAGGCACAGAGCATGGGACAAGCGTTGACTAAGTTCTCCGAGCGACCCGACGGCCCAGCGTGGGCCAGCAAATCCCGTGGTCTTCACCGGCGAGTGCTGGACACTGGCTCTACTAGAACCTGCGACAGAAGAGACTGGAAAGGGGGCCCTGACCTGAGACTGTGGGCCTAGCCCCGCCCCAGCACGTAACCCGCAGGGCCAGCCTGTGGAGCATATGAGCGGAGGGCTTGGAAAACATCAGGTGCCACATGTTAAACGTGGACCTCCCGCATCTGGCGTGTCCCCGATGAAGGGAACCAGACACTTCTTTGCAGAGGTTTCTGCACGCCTGTGAACACAGCAGCATTATTCACAATAGCCGGGAGTGGGAACCAGCCAGTACCCACCAGCCAGCGCCCACCAGCGGGCAAACGGGTGGAGGGAACACGGCCCGCCCGCCTGCCCGCCCGCCCCACACAACAGGTACCCATCTTAAGGAGGAAGGGAAGCCGACCCCTGCCCGACTCGGCCGGACGACGAGGACTCTACACCCAGGAAACAGGCCGTCAGGGAGGGCCACCCTGGTGACCCCGCTCACGTGAGCTAGGCCCAGTGGCCTAGTGCATAGGGACAGCGTCGGACGGTGGGCACCCGGGCACGGGGGTGGTGGCAGTGGGCTGGGGAGTTCGATGGGCAAGGAGTCTCCGTTTGAGGAGTGGAGAAGTTCTAGAGAAGGAAAGGGGTGTGGGCCACGCGCTGTAAACACACGTGGAGCTTTTCAACTGGCCACTTAGCCAATGGCGAAATGGCCAGTTTTACATCCCGTAAAGCTCTACGTGGATCACTCACCGTGAGGAGTCTCCAAGGAAACGACCGGAGAGGAAGGGGGGCTCAGAGGGCCAGCCCTCTCCCCAGAGCTGCTCCTGGGTCTCCGCCGATCCACAGCCTCAGCCACACTGAGGCCGAAGCTCTCTGCCCGCCCCTGCCGCATCACAGACGGCACCCCTGTTCTGTCACCAACATTCTCGGTTGCCAGGCGCCAGAGAAACGGCAGCCCTGGGGCCTGGTTGACCTCGGTGCCCGGGCCTGGTGGGTCTTCACCATACCTCCTCGTTGTCTCTCAGCTTTGGGGGGATATGTGCACATCGCTGGACCCTCAGAGTGCACACCCACAGTCTATGTCAAAGACTCAGATGTCTCCTCAATCACCTTCTCCTAAACCACTTTCCCTCTCGTCCCTTAGAAATAGGATCAAGCCCACAGAGCGGCCGCAGACACTTGGCGGCCAGGGCAGTGGCGACACGCGGGGGTCGGCAGGGCGCCCCCACGTGGGCGGTGCAGTGGTGACAGACACGGACAGCACACGCCTCTGGAGACACCCCTAACTGTGGGGACGACCCCACAGTTGCCTCCGGGGTCCCGCTGCTGTCCCCACAGGCTGGTGAACAAGAGGCTGCAGCCGCGACCTCAGGCCCGCACGCCTGAGCCCACTCGCTGCCCACCCGGGCCCTCTCCCACACTGCTGGCTTGGCCGCTCTGGGGGAAAAGCAGGAGCAGCGGGCCCAGGGCAGCCACAGGCCCTGCAGCCAGACCGGTTTGGCCTGGAGCTGCGTGACATGCTCACCCCGGAGCCGGTCACAGCGGGCACGATGCCCGGCTGCAGCTGGTGGCGGTACAGCCGTCCCTGCCACGGGCTGTTCACTCGCCCTGCTTCCATGGCAACCCCACACCCCGAGAGCCCCGGCACTGGGGACCTGCCATGCTCAGAGCGTCAGCAGATACCAGTGTGTGGGGGCGGGAGCCTGGGGGCGACGCCGACTTCACACTGCCCCGTGTGTCCACGCCATCCTGGGACCCCCCCGCCCCGCTTCGCCCACTACAGGGGTGCAGCTCATGCTGCAGCCTCTGCCTCGGGGCCCGGACGCCTGACCGGGCCTCGGCAGTGGGAGGGCGGCGGGTGGGGCAGGCCCCAAGGGGGGGGCGGCCGGCCGAGTTTCAGCACCAAGTGCGTTCCCGACTTCCCAGTGGCAGAATGTGACAGCGGGGGGCGCATTCTCGTTTTTGAACAATGGCGTCCACTAGGTAATCAGAGACGGGCTTCGTCCGTTCAGAGACGCTATTTATTTTGCGAGAGTCGGGCAGGATGGACTGTCGAGAGGTAAGTGGTCAAGAGTCCAGCGTGAGCGCCGAGCGCTGCGGGAGGTGGATCGCGAAGACCCTGCGCGCCGTCAGCGGCCACCGAAGAACGCAAAGGGCGAGACGTTAGCACCAGGTTCCTGTGTGCGGTGACCGTGGCCGCACGGGCGTCGCCGCCCCGCATCTTTGGGTCCCCGACAAGCAGACATTGGCGAGGCAAACGGGAGCGGACAGGGGAGGAGGGGAGCGGGTGGGGGCCTGGCCCAACAGGCCACAGAGCACTACACGGGGGAGAATGTTCCGAGGGACATCCCGACGCCACACACAGACAGCACAGACGCTGCCCTTCACGCTGTACGTGGACATCGTGGGCGCCAGCACAACACTATCTGGGCACAGGGTCACAGGCGAGAGTACAGCGACATTCCGGGGTCGCCTCCGTGGGGCGGGCGGCGGGGGGCACACACGGAGCTGGGGGGGGACCGTGCTGGGCGCCGGGGCCACGTGGCGTGGGAGGGAGGTGTCACGCCAGCGGCATGAGGAGGATTTTCTCCAAGTCAGCCACGGCTTAATTTAGTGGGAAGAGAAACTGCCCATTCAAGGGGGGCCTCCCTTTGGGTCAAAACGAGGAGGCGCCCCAGGCCCGGACCCGGCCGACGGGAGGTTTCGGGGCTCCCGAGGAAGTCCCCGGTGGGCGCTCGCTCCACGCTCACCGAACGCCTCGGGGTCCTGGGTGTCGGCCGGGAGCACGCACCGTGCAACACGGTTGTGGCTGTGGGCCTGCAGGCGGGGGAGCAGCGGAAGGGGCCACGGAGCACTGGCCACGGGGAACTGGCCACGGAGCACTGGCCACGGAGCACTGGCCGGGCGCCTTGAGGGCCACACGCACACAGACGAAGCGTCCTGGTGGGAGCGAGCCCCCCAGAAACAGCCCGCTGGTCTCTGGGTGCCGACGCGAGCAGGCCGCCGGCAGACACTTCCCAGCAGCTCACTGTGCTCCGCTCACCTGAGAACGCGCAGGTGAGGCTGCCCGGTGGCCCCCCGGCCACGCTTCACCGTCCAGGG